TGAAACACACTGTTCCGACTGTTGCCTGGTATCGAATATTTCTTTAATCTGCATCTATCCTTTTCGGCGTTATTACGCCCAACTTTTCTTCAAGGATTCTATTTCGCTCTGGCCAGACGGCGAGGTATTCTGCTCCTCCTAAACCGGTTGCGACTGGAGAGGGGAAATGGCTACGCCTTGTCTGGGCGGAAAAGGTCCTCCCTACCTATATGTCCTGCACTCTGCGCAACCGCACTGCTTACGCACATGACTAGGATAGGGATAAAATACGGAAGGACCAACGTGGCCCACCCGCTCAACAGAAAAAAGTATGAAATTCATATGAACGGTTGAAATTTGCACATTTCATATTTTTCGATGTGCTGAAATGGAATTTGTACCTCAGCCTGGAATACAGTAGTGTCGTACAATAGTTATTAATAATTCAATTATTTAAATACATTTTACTCCGCTATTGAGATAAATACCAAAAAAATGTTTCAAGCAAAAAATATTCATAGAAATCTAATGAACGAAATGAAGTTTGATTTTCGAAAATTGGTCAATTTTTGCGGAAGATATAACTGTTGGCACCAATTCAATAGCGAAGTGGTCAAATGGTTTAAGTCGATTTTGATTATTGGCCAGTTTTCAATGAATATCTCGAAATCTAAGGGAGATAACAAAATTTTTCTCATAACTTTTTTAGTAGCACTCAATTCGCTCTACAAAAACGGTTTGTTAGAAACGCAACTAAAATTCCAGAACACTCAGCTGGAGCACCCTCGGGAACCTTCGGTTGAGCGGTCAGACGACCGTGAAAACCCCCAAATTTAGTCTTACACCGCACCTCATCGACTACAGTAGCATTTTGAATCTCACCTAGCTCACTAGTAGCCAAGTACATCACCAGCCTTTGTAAGATCAACGTTTGCCCGAGTAGAAATTTCGTCAGGCAAGCGTTTTGGCAGAGAAGGCCCTGCTCCGGCATCGATACAGTATACCTGATTACGGCATGCCAGATCAGGGCCTGAAGGGGACCATTGCATGTTCACCTTACCAATAAATTCCAAACTTTATGCAGGCATGCCTAATCATGCCCCAGTCAGGGCCTTTTGAGCGTACCCTGATGGAGAACAATTAAAGTCACATCAGGCATGTCTGATAACGAAAATTCCGGGGTCTTTTTCAGCCTGTTTTGATTGATCACGAGTGCTTGTTGAGTATACCGGATACGGCCAACTCGATCCGGCCATGATCAGGACCCAGGTAAGGTATGCCGGGAATCCTTAACTTCGAAAATTCTATAAGTTCAATACGGCGAACCTGATCCGGCAATGATCAGGTCCGGATAAGGCATGCCGTACGGGACTTGGAAAAATTTTCATCAAAGAGTCGGGGTGGAAATGTTAAAGGGGGGTGGGTCGGCGGGGAGGGGGGACGATGATCAGGAAAATTATACTAATTGANTCAAAGAGTCGGGGTGGAAATGTCAAAGGGGGGTGGGTCGGCGGGGAGGGGGGACGATGATCAGGAAAATTATACTAATTGATATTATTCTAGATTTAGTTCAATACTACAATTTTATTGGGAGTATTATTGATATACTCAAAACAAACGATGCCTTTTAAGAATGATACGGTAGTCGAGTGGATAGGGTACAGAACTGCTACGCGGAGGATCCCGATTTCAAGTCCCGTTCTGGGTGATTTTTTTTTCTTCCTCGACCCGCCTATTCTGGGACCACTATTTATTTATTTATTTATTTATTATTCACTTTTGGCCCAATTTAATAATTCAGTTAGCAATTTATTAATTTGTAGCAAAGTCTATGCCAGGTAAGGGCGAAACCAGGCCGCCTGTCACGGCCCTTATCAGGTTTAGAAATCAGGTCCTGATCATGCTCTGCGTTACATTTTCTATCAGGTCTTGATGTGATAACCGTAACAGGGCCGGGTCTTTTCTACGGCACAGCGGACCAGGGCCTGACCAGCCAACTACTAAAAGTTCTACTCAGGTGGTTCAGTAAATCACCATAATAATTAGTTAAACTTCAATTATTATCAGTGATTCAACTTGATTAATATTGCAGACCATTAACAGTGAATCTAAGACTATTAACAGTGACAATTTATACCAAAAAGTGTACATAATTCATTAACGATGTGGTTCTCGATCCCACGAATAAACGGCGATTTTTTATAATCAGTGTCGCAATTAATTTTCCAGCATCTCCCTCCACATTTTTCTCTCATATCCACCCTAAGCCTAGTAACTCTCCACCACGGTTATTATGAAAATTTCGCTATCTTCCTTAAATTCGGAAATATTTCTGGAAAACTCAACTGAAGACTAAATTGACTCAAACCGTTTGACCACTTCGCTACTAAATTGGGCGCTGATGTTACCTCTGACATGTGGAATGGCGCATGCATCTATAGGCCCTTCTGAGCCAAACGAATGGATCGAATATTCTCGAATTACAAACAATATTGAAAATTATCTTATCACAAAACTTTTTCATTTCAAGTGTTTTCTTCTTCGAGACTATTCTACCTATTCATTGGACTTAGCGCTATATGGGTGCATGCGTCACTCCGCGCGTCAGAAGTGATATGACCGCTCAATTGTTGCAAACTGCTACATCGTCCGTAACAATTGACTGATTTCCAAAGATCAAAATTCATGTTGTTCGTTACTTTTCAAAAAACATTGTTCATTTAAAACATTTTTAAATGTCTATTAAAATTAAGGCGTAAAACACATTCAAATAATTAAATTGTTGATAACTATTAACTGCATAACTTTATTGTAGGCTGAGTTACAAATTCGCTTTCAGCATATGAAAAAAACATATAATATGTAAGTATTAAATGTTCATATCAATTTCATACCTTTTTTTATCATCGTATCAACTACATTGTTCGAAACAAATGAAATTTCATGGACAGTTGACTACTAATTTTCAGGATAGTAGCAGTGAATGCGATTTAAGGGGAAAAAATCATGAAATTTCAAGTTTCACTGAAAATTCAGTAAAATTCCTGACTTTTAAGCACCATAAAAACGAGAATTCCTGAATTTAATCGAATTTCCAATCTAATATGAATATTCAGTGCCAAATTACATTGAACTTCCAATGAAACCTGAAATTTCATGATTTTTTCTCCCCTAAATCGCATTCAGTGTCGCTGTCCTGTAAATTCAAGAATATAGTTACCGAAATTTTCTGGTTTTCCATTCATTTTCAGGACAATATGGAACTGAAATTTACCGTTCTCTTTGATTTTCCCATGAACTGCTGAATTTTCAATGGCGAAATTGTTTGAAATTCCAGTGGTGGTTAAATTCGATAAAAAATTCCGAAAAATATACTGTAAAATTCAGACAAAAAATTTTAACAGTGTAATACGATACAGGTATTTAGTAGACTAAACTGATTGCCATGTGATGGATAAATATTTATTCATTGAAATTAATGTATTGTCATAGAATACATAAATGAGCCGATCAGGTATTCCTCGACGAATTGTGGAGTAAGAAACAGGTGCGCTCAGTAATTGTTGTAGTAAACAAATATGCGCCTGGATAAATTCAAGACGTGATTTCATTCAACTCTGATCTAAAACAATGTTTTGAACTATGCGACAGTACTGCGATCACCAGGATTGCGAGATATTTCGCAGCTCTAGTCGCCAGTGGGGCTATATACACCGGGAGCTGAAGTACAGCCAACTTGATGTCTACTACTGCCCAAGTCCCGGTGGAAACGTTTCTGATTTGTTCATGAGTTCCCGTCACTTTCCGCACTCCCTGACGGTAGAAACGCGTAAAATAGAGGAAGTAGATACCGTTTCTATCGATATACGGGTGAGATCGACAAAAACAGCGCACGGTGTACGCTAATTTCAAACAAGTGCACAAAGATTATATGTAAATTAAAGTATTTTTAACATTACCCATAATGCATGATAAAAACATAATAATAATAGGAAAAATACATTTTTTTTATTCAGCGTTTTGATTTTCAGCCATATTCAAGGTTTTCTAAAAACCTGTTTCTTTTTTCAGTTTTAATTACGAGCTACTATGACCAACGCAAGAAATTTTGAACCCATAGATTTCATCTCAAATTTACTCAACTTTCCGAAAAAAAATATAGTTTTTATCAATCTATACATTTTGGCATGAAAAACTCGAAAATAATGTTTCAAACTGCCATTTGAGGTCATTCCCCGAACTGTTTTTCTTTTTTTTTATTTTCATCGTAAAGTTGAGAAAATTTCCCAACCAAAACATTTTTAATTTTGGCGCTCTCATTAATCTACGGGTGAAATACAGGAAAAACTTGATTGTAAGTTCCTCCGATTTCAGGCGATCTTGAATAAAGTTCATGTTCCGGCGAAATCCGACGGTGGAAACGCATCGTTAGTTCAACTGCAAGTTGAGCTCCCTCTCTCCCAACTCTCGGTGTATATAGCCCCAGTGGTTCCACTGAGACGCGTATCGCACCGCTCTCATACACACACACCTGAGGTACACACGCACGTCACAGGTGTCGCAATCGTCCCCGCTTAGTTAGTCCTCCAAGTTGTGGCTCTCGCCACTCGGTGGACATCTCCACCTCTGATCGTGTATATATGTTCATATCGACTCACTTGTACATATTCATATACCGACAATAAACTAATTATAGTTTGCAACCGTTGCCTCGCGTAGTTGATTCGATCCTTCCCGATCCAACTCCGCCTCGAGTCCCCCCCCCCCC